AAAATTGACAAATGTTACCGATAACAATCATAATGAACAAAAGCAATCGGAAACGAAAAGGATTTGAGTCCAGATCCCGCAAACAGTGTGAGCTGTCAGTCATGGAAATCAATAGAAATTTAATGCGACGTCTCTGATGGAATTTCAGAATGAGTCATTTTCCTTCTCACAATCAGAGGATGCGAAGAGATTTTTGAATAGTTTCTTGCAGAAAACCATATACTTTGAGTTTCATCAGCAACTGGTAACATTTTCCATTCATCGGACAATTATTATTGAGTGACTGTTTCGAAAATGAATGAAAGAATGAACGGGTAATTAACGAATGCATATTTGTAATGCACTAGCAAATGACCTTAAATGAGGGTTCACAACAACAACTACAGATATTTTGAACTTCACTGCGAAAATGATTCATTTAATTCTCTAAACGCTAAAATAAATTTTGTCGTCTATTTCTTATTTCATCTACAATTATGATTAGCAACAGGTGTGGAGCACATCCAGCATTAGTCCAAGCGGCGTTAATCTCACCTCTACCAAAACATCTGCCTTTATAGACTGTACAAGTGACAGTAGGCATGACGACCGATGACCCTTTTGCTCATTACACTCATTTGAACATTAATATACTCATAATTCACTGCGTTTCATCTAAGATCTTTGAAGATCTTCTGATTGCAGTGAATTTTTGATGAGCATTGAAGTGAAGTTCATTCTCTGTGCAATGGTGATTGTGCATTGGCAGAATGGCGTGAAAATGAAACGAAGTAGTGTCATGAACACACTGAATGGTTCATTTGTGTGGTTAGTGGTTTGCACTTGAATGAAAGTTATACTTGACACTTAAAACATACTCCAACTGAGATTGCTTCTTCGGAATCTGATGGGAATTTTGGGATGAATTTTGATCCATTCTTCTCCTCCATTCCATTTAGAGGACGGATTCGGCAGAATACCTGAAGAGAATTCGTTGTAATTTTATGCGATAGAACCAGATTTATTGAGATATTCATTCCCATTCATTATGACATGAGTGGTTGAAGCAGTGATTGAAATTTCAACGATTGATGAATTTAGGGAAGTTCGACGACTTCAAAATGAACATGTTTAGATGCTGGTGGGTGAATGTTTTCGGTAATTTATCGAATTGTTTCTGAGAGTTTCAATTTGCATATGGCAAGTAGTACATTATTGCTGTTGCAATGTGTGATACAAAAGTATCAAAAACAAATGAATGATAACGGCAAAGAACCTGAATGCCACATTCTGCTGGATTTGGCACAGGATTGGCCATTTTCACAGATTTCGAAGTTTAGAGCTGGTCCTGTGAAGCTGGAAATGCGACTGAATGAGGGTGCGGACGGTGAATGAGATTACGCGTTTTGTGAAATAATACCGAGATTCTAACGATAATGCTACGATCATCAATAGTGATAATGTTGATAATTAAAGCATAATGATCGTATTCGCCAGCAGACACGGTAATTGGCCCAGAGAATGGATCGATATTTTAATTAATTTTCAA